TTTGCTTTGTTCTTAAGCCTTTTCTCATTACTTTTTCCTTTTGTGCCAACTCATATATTACAGTATTTTCTTAGGACAATACGTGAGGCAAATCAAAGTACAGAGAGGAGAGAAATAAGCAGGAGGAGGAACTGTAATTGTTCGTAAAAATTCCAATCTTATTCCAGGTGCTGAGGCAAATGTGAAGACAAAAATACTTCTTACCGGATAGTTCCTCGAAAAGAGTTCTTAAGTGGTGTGGACCCCACATACAGGATGTGTACTTTGGCAAAGCGTGAATTTATGCTAGAGACCTATGGAACAGAGATAAGATCAGCATTAGAGTATTAGCAGTTGTCAGCTCAAGGAGGCAGCAATAAACTAGGAATTATCAGGATTTCAGTCTAAGCAAGCTTACTAAGTATAGAATTTAAGACAAGTTAAGTCCTACTTATCCTTGCATAAAGTGGAATAAGAGCCACTCTGGCCAATGGAATTACTGTAGGAATCAAATGAAATAGCACAGTATTATTTTGAAAAACACAGATGTCTAATATAAATAGACACAGGGCATTATAGCAAATCGAGATCTTTAGCAGGTCTTACTAAGAGGCCTAGAGTGGATGGAATTTAAGTCCACATTTCAGCTGCTGCATAATATTTGGATCACTGCCTCTCCAGTTATTTTCAGAATTACACATAGATTTTTCGGCTGGAGCAAGTTATAAAGAGAGAAACTAAGAGCTCCAAGTTAATGTAACCTGGCAGAGGGTGGGATGATGTACTAGAGTTACTGATCAGTATAGCATTAATTTGTACTTCCCGTGGAACATCCTAAAGACTTTATATTTAACAGGAATGCAACAGTATAAAGTTTTTCACTTTTCTGCAGAAAAAGGTCTCATCTCAGATATTCAAAGATACACCTTCTTATCACCTTTTGGAGCCCGTTTCCCATACAAGTAAAACTACATACTCAGGGAACCTGTTCTATGAAAGAACTATGCAAATCTGAACTTGGCTGCCTTGATCATTATCCTAGAAATCTTTAGACCAGCACAGTCCAGTAAAATTTTCTGTGACAAAAATGTTTTGTGTTGACTAATATGATAACCATTAACCACATGTAGCTATTAAGAATTTGAAATTCGGGTAGTGAAGCTGATAAATTTTTTCAAATATATATATATTTTTTATTGATTTCAGAGAGGAAGGGAGAGAGAGATAGAAACATCAATGATTAGAGAAAATAACTGATCAGCTGCCACCTGCATGCCCCCTACTGGGGACCGAGCCCACAACCCACGCATGTGCCCTTGACTGGAATCAAACCCAGGACCTTTTCAGCCAGCAGGCTGACGCTCTATCTAATGAGCCAAATTTATTTATCTAGGGCGCTGATAAATAAATTTTAATTTACTTACTTTTAAACGGCCATATGTCGCTAGTGGCTACCATATTGAACAGTGCAGTTCTACAATGATCATGATGTCAGCACTGGATGTGGGTATCCTAAGTAGCGACGTTAGAACTAACTTACCTTACAGGTTACAATAGCTCCCACATCTGGCAGTAATTGGGACTCTGTTTCTCTCATCACAGACACAACAGGAAGCTGAAAGGAAAACAATAAAACGTGAGTATCCTGGCTAAGCCTTGGGTAGAGGTATTTGTGGCTTGAGTGTAATATAGGAATGTCTTGGTCTGCAGATGGACTACAGATTCGTTTATAGCAAAGAGCAGAAAGCCTTAGAAATTTTAGAAAATAGGAGGGCCACAAAAAAGGATGCTGTTAGAAGACATAATCTAACCATTTCAGATCAGTTCTAACAAGTTTTTGAGTGTGACTTTCTTGGAATTACTTGGTATAAAATTTCTTGCCTATAATCATGGATAATTTGACTCTTTCTTCCAAAGCTATACTGCTTATTCTTTCTATTTCTCATTATACAGGCTAGAATTTCCAAATAAATGTTATATAATAGTGGCCATACTTGTTTGCTTCTGGTTTAGGGGAATACTTGTAGAGTTTTCTCTTTGAGCATGGTATTAGCTGTTGGTATATGGTAGATAGTATTTTTGAACCTCGTATGTTCTTAATTTCTCCCTTGTTCATTATGGTTTGGGTCTCCTGGCCTTCAGTTCACCAGCTCACTAAATTTCTTCCCCTCTGAGGAGCTCTGTTCAACCTGTTCTTTTTGCCAGGACTGAGCTCTTCCTATTTATCCTTTAGATTGGTTAAATGTCACTTCCGCTAACTAGGCTGGGTTTACCTACGACACGTTCTCATGGCACCCGGTAGTATTCTTTTAAAGCAGTCATCACATTTGTAACCATAAATTAATTTGAGCATTTATTTATTTACAATTTGGGCTTGTGCCCTTTGATAGCAGAGACCATGTGTATTTGGCTCATTACCATATCCCTAGAGGTCAGCATGAGCCTGACATATGAACATGCTCAACAGATGTCCATACCTAGGAAATGAACACACTTACCAATGTTAAGGACATTCCCAAAACTGAATGAAAAGCCTCTCCCTTTACAGATGAGGAAGAACGTAAAGCCAGAGAGTGTGTTTCTTCGATAAAGCAGAATCAAGGTCTAGTTAGCCAGCGCCTACGTGTTTTAATCCTGAATCCTCTTTCTAGTCCCTACCTGTCTTTAAGCTGCACCTTCAAAGACTGTGTATCCGATCCTGAGTTAACTAACACTGTGTTCGGCTCTGGAACTTGTGCATTCAACAAATGTTTACTGAGCATTTACCTTGTGCTGTGCACTGAAGGTATGGTGGTGAGACCTGCTTTCATGAATCTTAGAGTCAAGTCGGGAAAGAGTCTGGTGGGGAACATGTAACTGTTTAATTCTATGCTGAGATAAGTGCGTGGAAGGAAAGGAGTACAATTCTTTGTGTTAAACAAACAAAAGCCAAACTCCCTTCCTCAAGGAGAGGGTTCAGGAGGGCTTCCCTGAGAGAGTGAGACTTAGGCCAGCGGTTCTCAACCTGTGGGTCGCGACCCCTTTGGGGAAACACATACATCGGAAAACACATACATAATTACATATTGTTTTTGTGATTAATCACTATTCTTTAATTATGTTCAATTTGTAACAATGAAAGTACATCCTGCATATCAGATATTTACATTACGATTCATAACAGTAGCAAAATTACAGTTATGAAGTAGCAACGAAAATAATTTTATGGTTGGGGTCACCACAACATGAGGAACTGTATTAAAGGGTCGCGGCATTAGGAAGGTTGAGAACCACTGACTTAGGCGATCTGAAGGGCAGGCAGGGATTACACAGGCTAAGGAGGGAAGGGCGCCAGGCAGGTGGTGTGGCACAAGGGCCCGGGGCAAGAGAGCTCAGGGCACTAGCGACGCTGAAGGAAGCCGGTATGACCAGACTGCAGAGTGCGGTGGGGATGTGGACGAACCAGAGAAGTAGGCAACATGCGGGCAGCAGTCAGCTCACAGAGGGCTGAGCTGGCCTCTGCTCTTCCCCCAGCATCCTTCCCCGAGTGTCAGCAACACAAGCAAGGGTGCCCCAAACGACGGGCACCCTGGTGCCATCTAAGTGCCCGGCAGCAGGGACCACAGATGGAAGAAGCTTAAGAGACCAACTCTTCCTGGTGAGGCGCTAGAGATGCGTCCATAGTGCCCTTGCCCCAGGACCGCGAAATGAAAGGCAGCCTAAGAGAAAGGCAGAGACCGAGGAGATGGAGGGCCGCCCCCTTTACCGCGCCGTTCTCGCAGCTCTTCGTCATGCAGCCAGCAAGAGACGAAAAGATGTAGCCATGCCGGGTGTAGGTGCCGCTGCCTGGGCTGCCCTCCTCCAAGTTACACAGACGTTCGCCTGCGGGAAAAAACGCGGCATCAGCCACGGGTGCCCAGAAGCTGTGGGCCATCCGGCCTTCCTGCCTCTGTCCCTATCCAGGACTCGGTATGGGCATCGCTCACTCACCCGGGATGCAGTACCTCACGGGTGGCGCCATGACAGCCACTATGCAAAGTCCGGAGGAAAACGAAAACGGCCTCTCATTGGCCAAAACACGGGTGCACTGCCTCAATAAGAAACGCGCCAATTGGTGCGTTTGTCACGTGACCCCGCGGCGCCTTCCTGAAGGGGTAAACTACACGTCCCAGGTTGCCCCGGGAGAATCCCGGGGCGGAGCTCCAGAGCGCCTGGACTTGCGCTTGCGCCGTGGTTGAGCATGGGCTGGCGGCGGGTCCGGGTCTGCAGGGTGGCTCTGCAGGCAGCGGGGCATGGTTGGTTGGGTTGAGCCGCATGGGCCTGGGGCGCGGAGCTGGAAGGGGTGGCAGTAAGCGGAGGCTGCGGGCTCCATTTGGTTGACTGGAGAGTCGGCAGGAGGCAGGTAAGTCGGCAGGCCTTTGTCCTCAGTCCTGTCCCTTTTTCTAGGGTCGGGCCCTGTCCTGGGGCCTTGTCGTGTCTCCTAGCGGGGCCTGTCTGTCCGCGCTCTCCTCTAGCCAGGCAGAGTGCACCTTCCGGGCAGCCGTAACCCGTGAAGCTGGAAGAAAGCCAACTAACCCATCTCGCCCATTTCACAGATTTGCAAACTCAGATCCAGAGATAGGATTTGAATTGTCCAGTGTCTCAAAGATAGTTTAAGGTAGAGCCTAAACCGGAACCCACTTTTTTTGACTTCCAGTCCCATCGCACTTTGACCATGCCACCCTCACCGAGAAATAAACCTTTTCCCTGTTTTCATAACTGCAGCTTCCGATCTCAGTGGAATCCTCACAAGAGTCCGATCCCATCCTGAACTTTTTCTCTTCCCAACATGTTAGTCCGGAAGGGAAGTCTGCACGTGAATAAAATGCTGCTGGTAGTGATGATTGACACCTGCTGCTCGAAATTGCAAACATCCTGAGAGCAACATCTTTGTCGGGATGAGGTTTACCAAGACTTTCATCACAGTTTCCTCTGCCTTCTGGCAGCTTTGAAAGCCATCTCTCCCAGTGTACGCTCCCATCCCCAAATCCAGTTTCCCCTTGGGAAGCAGATGGTGATTTCGAGCCTTGGGAAGCGGAGAGTGCCATGGCCTGCAATCCCCTCTAATCTGGTGGCAGATGTCGTTATGGTCTGTGGCTACTACTACCGTGGGCTCAGTGTTCAGGGCTTGTGCTTGGGGTGATGGTGTTGTGCTTTGCTCTGTTTCCTCCCTAGTTCACTCTGACCCCCCTCCTCAGTGCTCCTCCCCCACAATTGTTTGAGTTCTGCTTTACTTCAGTTTCCTGAGATGAATGTGTGCTCAGTTGTGGCCCCCTGGACTACATATCTCTTCCCTGGCCTCCCCATGGCCCCCAAAACCCACTAGCTAAAGTGAGTGGAGGCTCAGCTTTAGACTTTGTTCACTCTTGCTCTCCATATCTACAATCTTTCTGTTTACATGTTTGGGTTGATTTCTGGTTGAAATTGTTTCCTAAAATGCCTTCTAACACTTAAGTGCTATGATTCTAACAACGAGAAGTGATAGCAGCGGAAAATTATTTAGTGTTATCCATTGTTGGACAGATAGACATCTGACTAGCCTCTCCACTGCTACATCTCAGGTCATTTATTTAACAAGTATTTATTGAGCACGTCCATGAGTCAGGTCTTGTGCTAAGAACTTTATGAACATTAGCATTTACTCATCCTCATTGCATGGGAACACAAGAAAATTGAGTTCAGGCAGGATCCAGTGATTTGCCCAAGTCACAGAACCACTTACCGGCAGAATTGAACCTTGAGTAGTCAAATTACGGGGCAGATGAAAGTTGGCAAGTCTAGTCTTTGAAGCAGGCATTTCCTGTAGAGCTTGAATTCTGGAGATGGTTGAGAACAATCCAAAAAGTGGAAACCTGAAAAAGGAAGTTTGTTTGTAGACAGGAGAGATGGCATATTATCATGCTAATAAAGATGAGAAATGCAATGCATATTAGTTGCCAGCTATTGCTATTGTATTTTAGGAAACAGGAAGTTCTCCATTAGCCATAGTAAGGGAATAAACAGTGGTATGGACATCTAAGCCACTTGCATTTGTTGTGGGGTAAAGTGTTTTGTCCCACTCTTATATTTGATTGTGGTGCCTATCTATGCTATTTGGAAAATTGATGCTTGAAGACAAATCATGTTTCCAAACAATGGGAGTCCAACTCAAAGGAGGTAGGAAGTTTGAGCTTTTCCTTTTTCTCTCTTCTACACTCTTAATTCTCTAGCTCGTAGGAGGTGATATGGGAATGGCCACTTTATCCTGGTGCAGAGAGTAGGTCTCTACTGAATTGTCTTTCTTCTCTTTCCCTGCTGGCATTGTCTGCTAGATTTCTTTTTCCCTTAGGTCAATATAGGGTTGTGGAAGGAGGTAATTAAGAGTTTTCTTTGAAAGGCTTTTTATGTTGGTGAGCCAGAATGCAAGGAGAGTACCTTGCTCTAGTTACTGAACGGAAACCATCCCTACAGTGGAGCAGCCTCCTCCAGTTTCTGCTGGGTCTTGAGCTGACTGTTAAATAAGTCAGTGGAGTTGCTGAGGACAAAGTAGCTCTAGGGGAAAATCAGATAATTTCTTTTCTGGAAGGGACTTTAATTTGCGGAGTTGATGAGACTATCATCGAAGGAATCTGTGTCTTCTGTTCTGGGCATTGCCTGGGCCGCCGACCTTCCATGGCTGTTGGATGAGGTAGAAACCACACAGAGGAGATGGAGGCCCTTGCAGAGGAGCCATGCAAAGGGCCAAAGAGCTAGGGAAGCTGGTTGGGAAGCTTGGGGCCAACGGCAGCAGCTGCCGAGAAGGCTCTTGAATGTTCAACTAGAACAGGCAGAGGAGACTCAGCGGAGAGGTCAGGCCTTGTTGTCGTCCTGAGCCACCAGCATGGAGGCTCCCCTCCCATTGCCATGTCTTTCTGCCTGTGGTGGTATTCTCCTCTGAATACCCGAGGCTGTCTTGGCTGCTGTACCCTTGGGGTGGCGCTGGGACTGGAATTGAAGACAAAGCATCTTATGTCATGGAAGGGTAGCTGAGCTGTCCTGACAGGAGACAGGGGCTCTCCTGCTACCAGGGTGGCCTGTAACATCAGCCCAGAGGGAGTAGGAAGGATGAGTATCTTTTGTCAGGACTCAGCAACCAAATAGTTCTTGTGGACTGGAAACCCTGGGCAGGGGAGTCTGGGTGCAGGCTCCACATGCTAGCATTCACGCCACCACTGGTTGTTCCTTGGAGGTAGGTCAATGGGCCAGGGCAGACAAAGACTGGGGGAACCCTCTGCCAGTGGCCATGCTCACAGACACACAGTGGGCAGCTTTCTGCATGTTGGCTGTGCTCCGCCCAGTGACCTGTCTACAGACAATTCCAAAGACCCTGCTTAGTCTTGGAGCCGCCTATCTGCCCTTCACCCCTTTACTGTGGCCTTTTGCTCTCGGTGTGCATCATCTTGGATTTGCTGTGTAACCACATGGTGCAATGTGGTTTCTGCCGGATTAGAACCTCTAGCCCTACTCCCTGTAGTCTGGTTGGGACATGGCACTGCACATTCCGTAGAGAATGGAAGCGGCTTTCTTACTGCCCACAGCTGGTAACTGGCCCAGCTGGGCCTCAGTCTTAGGTCTGTGCTTCTAAACCGGTGCTCAGGGCCTCCCCACTGGTGGGCTAAGGAGGGAGGCTGGTCCCTCACAATGGTGTGCTCTCCTAGGAGCCATGCAGCCCCTCACAATGGTGTGCTCTCCTAGGAGCCATGCAGGGCCAGCGGAGCCTGCTGCTGGGCCCTGCCCGCCTCTGCCTGCGCCTGCTTCTGCTCCTGGGCTCCAGGCGCCGCTGCCCCCCTCTGCTCCGGGGCCTGGTACAGCGCTGGCGCTATGGCAAGGTCTGCCTGCGCTCTCTGCTCTACAACTCCTTCGGGGGCAGTGACACCGCTGTCGATGCTGCCTTTGAGCCCATCTACTGGCTGGTGGACAACGTGATCCGCTGGTGTGGGGTGGTGAGTGATGCCCAGGGAGCAGGAAGAGGGATGTTTTGGGGTAGCAGAGGGACATGTGTTTGATGCACCAACGCCAGCCCCTACCCTGGGGATATTCCTGAGTTATTCTGGGTGGCGACAGGCTCTCTCACTGCATCTACCTGACCTCACTGGTGTTGGCAGGTGTTCGTGGTGCTGGTGATTGTGCTGACCAGCTCCATTGTGGCCATCGCCTACCTGTGTGTCCTACCCCTCATCCTCCGAACCTACTCAGTGCCACGACTCTGCTGGCATTTCTTCTATAGTCATTGGAATCTGATCCTCATCGTCTTCCATTACTACCAGGCCATCACCACTCCACCTGGATATCCACCCCAGGTGGGTCTCCACAGGGGGTCGGGGAGGGCAGAGGGCTGCTGGCCATGGGCGCCCGTCCCAGGAGTGGGGAGAGAGCGTGCCTTGCATCTTTGCAGGTATGAAACTGGTGCTGCCATATTGTCATGATGCTTTTCTCTCTTCGCACAGGGCAGGAATGATATCGCAACAGTCTCCATCTGTAAGAAGTGCATCTACCCCAAGCCAGCCCGAACACACCACTGCAGCGTCTGCAATAGGTGGGTCTTGGCTTTGCTTTCTGTGAGCCCTAGCTCTGGCCCTTTGGCTGTAGCCCTAGGGAAAAACCGAAACCTGGGGTTTGAGAAGATGTTTATGAAGCACTCACCACGTGCCAAACAATGTGCCCTCTCTGTCATGACCCCTGGCCCTCAGGATGGTCCTGTGAGTTAGGCATCATCACCACTTGTAGAAACTGAGGTTCCGAGAGATGAGTTGCCCTGATACTCATGTAGTATCAGGTAGCCAGTGTAGCAGCGTTTGAAGCAAGGCCTGGCTGTCTTCCAAGTCTGTGCCCTTTCCACCTCAGCAGGATGTTGGTCCTTGTAGAAAAGGATTGGCACTGACATCTCAAGAACCTTGGCCACCATAACAGAGCCTGTGTCCCTCCCTCACAGGTGTGTGCTGAAGATGGATCACCACTGTCGTATCCTTTTATTATCTCTTCCGCCTGAGGCCTCCTCTTTAGCTTCAGAGCACTGCACAGGGCTAAGGGCCACAGACTTGAGGCTTCTAGCATCACCCTGCGGAGAACATTGGGCTCATGAGAAGTTAGTGGAAGAGGAGTTGTGGCAGCTGACCATCTCTTGGGGGAAGCAGGAAGCTTACAGGTGCTCTGGGACAGAACTCCTTGGAGCAAGTCATCTATTCCTACAGCCCTTTCTTTTGTAGACTGTCATGCCGGCACCTATTGGATGGAAAGAGATGTTTGGGCTTCAGTCGTCGTCCACTGGGTATCCAGATAGAAGCATTGATTCCCTTCTGCTGCCCCGTACAGATGTCTGGTTAACCCCAGCTAGGTTGACATATTGGCAAATTCATTTTAGTGAATGGTTTCAATTTTCATGATTTCCTGGTGGGATTGTGAGGGCTCTGAAAAGCTTTAACACTTTCACTTCAACCTCTGGCAAGTCCCATATGTATTTTCCTGCCTTTGGAAAATAGTTCTTGGTGACTGGAAACCCTGGGCTTGGATGATGTCATCATGAAACAAGGATGAACCAGAGAGGCCTGGACACACCCTGAAGTTGTTTGATCTTGTCCTTAATCCTTCACGCACCAGCCTGGCTAAACAACTGTGTGGGCCACTATAACCATCGGTACTTCTTCTCTTTCTGCTTTTTCATGACTCTGGGCTGTGTCTATTGCAGCTATGGAAGTTGGGACCTTTTCCGGGAGGCTTATGCTGCCATTGAGGTGAGCCCATAGTTAGGAGCAGGGCTACTACGTAGTGAGCACTTTGGGGTGTGGAATCTGTCCCTTAAGGAGTGGGGCTGATAGCACCTCCATGCTAGAGACCTGAGAGTATAACCAGCACTGTTTTCCATCCCCTTAGAAAATGAAACAGCTCGACAAGAACAAACTACAGGCGGTTGCCAACCAGGTGGGCGGTCCCCACCCCACTGCCTTTTGCTGCTCAGGCCAGGGGGCATAGAGTTGCTGAGGCAACCAGGGCCCACCTGGTGGAGTTGTAGAGACTGGTTGAGGGGCCGCTGGAGACTGGATCAGGGGTGTTCTGGGAGGCTGTCTGCCATGCAGATTAAGTGGCCTGGAAGTCCCTCGTATGTGACAGTTTTTGGCTCTCTATCCCATTATCACCTTTTTTGGGCTGAGCAAGGACTCTGCCTTGGTGATGGCCTGAGCAGCAAGGAGTCTGTGTCGGTCTGTGTACTGGGGCTCCAGGGGACAGAGATCAGGCTGGGCCAGTCTGATCATCCTTCGCTCCTGGTCTGTCTGCATCCGCATCTGGGTCGTCCCTTCTCCCAGGCTTTTTGGGACTCCTTATGCTGAGCAGATCTTGGGCTGATTGTACTTCTGCTGACCTTTCAGTCCTTAGTGTAGCTCAGTTCTCCCTGCTGCAGTCATTCCATTCTGGGTGTGGGTCTGGTCTCTTCTCTTGGCGATTACAGCCACAGGGGAAGGTCTAGCTGGGAAGTGGAGTGGCTTCCCCTGGATCCCCATTTGTGTTGTCAGATCTGAAGGCCCAGGGTCGGCTCCTCCTGTGCTTTGCCATCCTGTCCAGACCCACTCTGCCCAGTGTTTGTCCACATGATGCTGCCGGGCTTGGTCCACCCATCTGGCTGCTACCCTGACTCCTCTGTGGCTTAACCCATTATTTTTTCATCCTGGGCTTGGATCACTTCCCTGCCTGAAGGTGCGGGGGGCTCTGGTGGAGACTAGCACAGCAAATGAGCCAGACTTTGCTGTTTTCTTTTTCTAGACTTATCACCAGACCCCACCACCCACCTTCTCCTTCCGAGAAAGAATGACTCACAAGAGTCTTGTCTACCTCTGGTTCCTGTGCAGGTATCTAACTCGCTCCTTTTTGGCAGCTTAATGGAGGGGCAGCTTCAGAAAAACCTTTTTAGGTGCCCACAGGGACCCATTCCTGTGTGAACTGCTGCTCTTAGTCTAATAAAGGTTAGAAAAGTCAGCATTTAATTTTCTCTAGCATTTTGGTGCAGGGAATACTAAGGATACTGGCATTGAGTGTTTGTTATATGCCAAGGTAAGTTAAAAGCCTACCTAATCAGTAAGTGACTACATTTTATAGATAAGGAAAACTGAAAATTAGTGGGGTGATTTGTTCCACAATACACAGCTAGGAATGAATGTAGAGCTGGAGCCTGAATTTTGTGCCATCCCATTCCAACCCCTGGTGCTTTTATTACTCTCTACAGGCTCTCAAGCATGGCTATTTTAAGAAATACACAACATTTTTTATTAGTAATACAGACTTATTCCCCCCTCCTTTCCATATAATTTATTCTTTGCCCATGCTGAAGCATTTTCATTGATGCTTTTTATAGATGTAGTGAAGAAAAAGTTTATCTGGGGTGTGTAGGCTGGGAAAGAGGTCCCTATCCAATCATTATTGCTCAGCTTAATTTCAGACATAGCCGTTAACTCTCTCTAAGCTACTAACCAATCTTTGCTTCTTTTCTTAGTTCTGTGGCACTTGCCCTGGGTGCCCTAACTGTATGGCATGCTGTTCTCATCAGTCGAGGTGAGACTAGTATTGAAAGGCACATCAACAAGAAGGAGAAACGTCGGCTGCAGGCAAAGGGCAGAGTGAGTAGGGCTGAGGGCTGGGGGAGGATGCTGAACCTGCCATCCTGTAAATAGGCCCTGGTTAGGGCCAACTACGGCAGGCATCCTGAAAGGCCAGAATTTGCCTAGCTGAGCTTAGGCTTGGCCAGCTTAGGCTTGAAAATTAGAAGGGGATTAAATAAAGGGGTTTGTAGAAACTTACATTTTTCTTGGTCCTAGATTTTTAGGAATCATTATAACTACGGCTGCTTGAACAACTGGAAGTTATTCCTGGGTGTGGACACAGGAAGGTAAAGTAGACCAGTGCTGTCCAATAGGAATCTGTGATGAGAAAGACGTTCTGTACCTATGCCAGTGATGGCGAACCTTTTGAGCTCGGCGTGTCAGCATTTTGAAAAACCCTAACTTAACTCTGGTGCCGTGTCACATATAGAAATTTTTTGATATTTGCAACCATAGTAAAACAAAGACTTATATTTTTGATATTTATTTTATATATTTAAATGCCATTTAACAAAGAAAAATCAACCAAAAAAGAGTTCGCGTGTCATAGGTTCGCCATCACTGACCTATGCTGTCTAAGACATTAGCCACATGTGGCTACTGAAATCTTGCCGGGTGGCTAATGCACCGATGAACTTTTTTATTTAAGTTTTATTTTCACTAATTTAAAAAGGCACATGTGTGCCCTGGATGGGTAGCTCAGTTGGTTAGAGTGGGATCCCAATACCCCAAGGTTACAGGTTCATTCCCCAGTCAGCACATACAAGAATCAACCAATGAATGCATAAGTAAGTAAAACAACAAATTGATACGTTCTTTTTCTCTCTCTAAAATAAAAATAAATTAGAAAACAATAACAAAACACATGTGGCTAATGGCCACAATATTGGAAGCACAGATCTAGATTCTAGTAGAGATCATTGCTTATTTGCGCCAACAGAGTTTAAGGCCAACACTGGTTTAAGTAGCAGATGAAGCTTGCAGATAACACAGTATCCCAAGAAAGCTCTTTTCAAGAAGGGACTTCTAGGTAGGGAAGGTGGCCACCAATCACCTTTCATTTGTATGGCAGTGTCTGGAGTTCAAGCCAATACTTTCTGGAATTGAAATAATCGATTTGTGACAGAGGTTGTCCTAAGACAATAAATGAAGCTAGCTCCTTCCACCCAAGACATGGAAAATCATTTTCCAAATTGCAGCGATCGAGGCAGTAATAAGGTGACCACAAGTACCTGCCTGCCTCCTTTCCCCAACCCCATTGCATCCCTGGCTGTTACTGTACTTGCAGTCGCCACTTAGACGTTCAGCTCAAAACCTCTAAAGGCCTTCAAGGCACCAGAGGACACATTTATTGGACAAAATTAGGGCTTTTGTTCGTGATTAAAGCCAAGGTAGCTTCAGGATACATAAAAGGTAGCTTAATGTATCCTTACTGAGGAAAGAGGATCAGGAAGCCCAGAAACTCTTGGGACTCAGAGACATTCTTTTCTCTTGCAGGCACTGGCTTACTCGGGTGCTGTTACCTTCCAGTCACCTGCCCCACGGGAATGGAATAATCTGGGATCCCCCTCCTTGGGTGACTGCTCAGTCGGCCTCTGTGATGGCAGTGTGAGCTGGATTCTGTCAGCCACAATCTGAGCATCATCCTGCTTCCTGCACTGTCTTGAGGGCCTCCAAGGGTAGCTTCTTGGAACTCTTGAACAAGAGCCAGTGGACCTGCCTTAGGGTACCATGCACAGACAACCCAAGGACCCGACTCCTGGCCACTGCAGAAGCACGGCACGATGTGGAAAAGTCCTGGGACTGATGTTCCTTTCCTCAGGCAAACAGAAGTTCCAGCCGTAGACTGGAGATGAGGCAGCTAGCAACCTTGCCGGGTGCTGACCCCAACCTCCAGGTTATAGCACTGGAGTTGGCCACCACCACTTCCACTTGCTGTCTGAGAAAACGCCTGAATGGTCATGCTGAGATCCTGGCTTCTCAACAGGGCAAAGATACCAGGCCTACTGCTGAGGTCACTGCCACTTCTCACATGCTAAAGGGAGCAAAAATAAAGGTATTTGATTTTTAAAGATCTGTAGCTTCTCACTCTTTGCCGCTACTTTAGGGCAGGGAAGGGGAAAGTCAGGGTCAAGGCTTAGTGAGTAGTGTTCTGGTCATGCCACCTCTGCCCTATTTGGAGGCACTGGATGCCCTGAAGAATTCTTGGCTAATCTCTTTCATTACTGTTCTTTTCGCTTATACAGTGACACTGCTGATTATGTGCTACTGAGGCATAAGTGGAGGTCAGGGGGCGGGGAGAGAATATCTGACAGTCCCATTATAAAAAGAAATCTTTATTCTTCAGCAGATATCCACACATGCACCATCCCTGGTCCTCAGGGCCACACTCATCTATCTGCATTCACTCCTCAGCAGCATATCTTTTTCTGACATACAAATATGGAAGAGTCTTTAAGATCTTTCTTCAAACACAAGTAGTCTCACACTCAGTTACTCCACAATCCATTAGAAACCAGGACTGTTTCTTGTACAGCCGTGTAGCAGAGGCCCAACATTTATGCTGTATCTGTAGGAAAGGCAATCAGAGGCCAATGGTCTCCCTGCCTTGGCAAGATGGCTCAATAGTTAGTAATTCCACGTTAGATTGTCAGAACAGTCTAGGCCAGGACTCAGGGCTCAGCTGCCGGGGCTTCCCAACAGAAACCTGTAGCAGAAAGAATGTTGGCAGCATTAGTGGTGAGGCTCATTTCAATCCCATCTCTCCCCACGACCTAGGAACTCACCATTCTCCCCTGGCTGACACTGCTTCCTTGCGCACCAGTCTCTTCTTGTCATCCAGAGGTTTGGCTAAGGCCCGGATCACCTGTGGTTTGTACGGCAGCAGCTGCGGAATAAGAGTTAATCTCAGCCTGTTTAGCCAAGGCAACCGAAAGAGCTGCTTCTCCGACCCTACAACTACTCTTGAGTCCTATTCTTTTTTTTTTTTTTCTTTAGAACTATTGTTTATTAATAGTCACTATGTAAAAGCATAAAAGCATCATCAGAATATCATGGGAATTTAATGCTGGTTAATTTCTTCTTCTTTTTTAAATTGTTTAAAGTATTACATATGTCTCCATTTTTCCCGATTTACCCCCCCCCCCCCTCCCCCGCCTTCTCTCTGAGATTGGACAGTCCGTTCAGTGTTTTCTTTGTCTCTGGATCTATTTTTCTTCATCAGTTTATGTTGTTCATTATATCCCACATATGAGTGAGATCATGTGATATTTATGTTTCTCTGACTGGCTTATTTCGCTTAGCATAACGCTCTACAGGTCCATCCATGCTGTTACAAATGGTAAAAGTTCCTTCTTTTTTACAGCAGCATAGTATTCCATTGTGTAGATATACCACAGTTTTTAATCCACTCATCTGCTGATGGGCATTTAGGCTGTTTCCAAATCTTAGCTAGTGTAAATTGTGCTGCTATGAACATAGGGGTGCATTATGTCCTTTCTGATTGGTGTTTCTGGTTTCTTGGGATATATTCCCAGAAGTGGGATTACTGGGTCGAATGGGAGTTCCATTTTTAAATTGAGTCCTATTCTTTAGTGAGTCCAGAGGATGCTAGGTGACAGGATGACCATTCTGTGGTAGGGTATCCAGACAAATCCTTGCCTATCTGTACCCTGCAGTTCATCACACAGCAGGGTGGCCAGTCATGCTTGACTAAGGCAAAAAGGTACTTCTCTGGCTCTTAGAATTTTCCAGGCCAGAGAGGGACACCTGAGGTACTCACCACAGGGGTGGGCAGGCGAGTGAGTGCGTGCATACACTGCAGTGCAGCAATCCGGACAGCCTGGAACACAACCATAGGGAGGTGAGAGGAGACCCAAGAAGGACAGCTGCAGATGCCAGAGGTGCTCAACGTACCATGGAAGGGCTGGAGCTGAGGTTCAGGAACTTGGTAACGAGGGTGTCAACATGAAGACTCATGACTTGGGGTGCTTCTAGTAGAAGAGGCTGAAGGCAGCTGAGGGTGGAGAGCTGTACCACACAGTCGGGGCAGGACAGGGCCTCCAGCAGCAAGGAAAGCAGCTAAGGGGCCACAGGAAAGGTGGGAATGACCACAGACCTGGTGATGAGCCTGCTTCTCCTCCCCTCCCCCCTCTAGCTCAGCTGGGGGACAATGGCTTGGTCCCTTGCTTAGAGGCTCTGGACTGCAAGGCTTACCGTGGGCAGCTCTGGCAAGAGCACAGGCTTAGGCAGCCGGTTAAGTACATGAGACAGACCTTTCAGGTAATTTGGCTTCACATCTGTAAAAAACAGAGAAGCTTAGGGGAGAAACTGGGCTCAGACATACAGCTTGAGAATTCAACTCCAATCTGATGACGCTGGGACATTAGCCTACATAGATGTTTAAAAAAAAAAAGCCTCTCAAGCTCAGAATAAGCAAGATCTATCCACCAACAGAAAAGAATGGGGTAAGAATCTGGAGGGTTAGCCCTTTAAGTACAGACCACACTGAAGAAGAACTGAGGTCCTAAATTATCTTACAGAATGAGGCCTGAGCCAAGGAGAGGCTTATAAATTTTGGGCCTTCCTTTTAGACTCTCCTTACCTTGGGGAGCAGCATGGAAGCCCTGGACCAAAGCAGGCACGTTATCTGTGAAGAAGCGCTGGCGGAACATGATCCGCACATCAGCATGGCCAGCACGAGTCAGTACATCAGTGCAGTCAGACATGAGCAGAGAGAAGCCATCAGCTGCTTTTGGGCCTAGTTCTGAATCACTCAGGAGGCCCATGAGCTGGAAAAAAAGAGAGCCTTTGAGGTACATTGGGAGAAGACTCCTAAATACCCAGGAGGAGGATGACAGTCATTTCTGGGAGGAACAGGATCAACAGAAGTTCTGTTTAGGTCCTACATTCCCTTGTCTCCAGACTGGACTTACCCGATCTGTAAGGCAGGAACTGAGAGGATGATATCTGAGCACTAGGGCCTTTGTTACCTGTAATCAGAGAAGAGAATGGTCAGGGCATGACACAAGCACCAGAACCCTGAGAAGCATGCTATGCTTCCAGGTCAAATGGAGAAATTTTTTTAACCAGACATCATAATTGTGTGTTCAATGAGAATCCGTTCCGACTCCTTACCCAGAGAAGCAGTGTGAAGGCCTGACTGCGATGGGCCCCAGAACCCAGCCCAGCCTCCACTTTGTCCACAGCCAGCTGTAGGAATTCATCCAGCTGTTGCCCTAAAAAGGAGAGAGGAAATGATGCAAAGGCTACATATTTTTCCTTTAACAACGAAGGACGTAAATCATTTCAGTGCAGAGCTCCCTGAGAAGCCAAGAGAAGAGAACACTATCACTCCGCTCTGGAACCAGCACGAGAGCCTGCTATGCCTAAAGCGCAGGGCTGCTGGCACTGGAAAAGAGTTGTCTGCTTCCAATAAAGAAGGATCCCTGACAGCTCCCTGTAGGGAGCAGGATGACAGATTAGACACAGCACTCTGCTTGTACCCCATCTCTGTCCTGTAATGCTTTGTCCAAATGCTCTCAACTTGTCCCAAGGACTGTCCCCTGGGAACCCCTATTATATGTACTATTAGCAGGCTCCTTTTTAAAGAAGAATGAGGACTGAACTTCAAGATCCCATCAGGATGGCTTCCCGTACCTGCAGGGTGCTTGTTGAGGAGTCCTGCAAAGCACTTGGCAGCGGCAGTGGAGGAGAAGGGGCAACCCTGGCAGCAGCTCAGCTCTAAAAGCTCCTGCATGAGTTGGTTCAGCTGAGGGATTTCCACCTGCAGAAAACCTGGTCATGTAATGGACTCAGAGAACACTTTGAACTCACAGAGATAACCAGTGAAAGTGGCAGCAGGGCCAGGACGGACGAGAACTGCATTTCTCAGTGGGGAAGTAGATCAGCTTAGTCTGCGACGAAGTTCAGCCCAGCAGCCACTTGGGATCCACCTCTCCTCGTCAGGGTTAAACTAGGGTAACTCCCCAAATGTGTTTACTTACATTTCGAGGCAGGGAGCAGACAAAGGCCATAAGCAGTGCAACCAGCCTCCTCTGTCCCGAGGAGCCATCCTATAAAGGATGAAGAGCGTTATCAAGCCTGTCATACCAGCCATAGGCTTATCCGTTCCAACAGCCATCCCAGATTAGCCCTAGAAATTTCAAGGACAGAAATTTCAGGATTCTACCCCATCTGATCCACCAGACCCTCACCTGGAATGGCTGGAATCTGCAAGGGAAGCTGTTTTCAGGCAGAAAGGAGATGTTGCCATCCAAGAAGAGGGGCACAATGCAGGCGACACTCTGGGCAGCTAAGCTAGGGGTAGAGCACTAGGTATCACCAAGGAGCTAGGGTTGTATAGTAGCCCTGGGGTTCCCATTAGAGTCACCGAGTCAATGGGTCTGAGCATGATCATTCACATATTCAACAATTATTAATTCAGCACATATATGCCAGGAACCGTTCCCATTCTAGGCCCTGGTGATAGAGCAGCAAGCCAGACAGATCTAATCCATGTTCTGGAGCTCACAATCTAGTGAGAGAACGCAACGTGTATTTTAAAAATGCTCCACAGGTGATTCTTATGCACATCTGCAGCTAAGAACCATCAGTCCATGGTTCACCCGCTCCCATGGTCCATGGTGCTAAAAACCCCTTCCTTACTTTGCCAGCAAAACTTACAAGACAAACGGCTGCCTCCACATTTGATACTGGGTAAAAGGACAGCTCAGAAGGCAGCTACCTGCTGCTGCTCCCCAAGATTGCTATCCTTTTCCCGGGGATCAAGCCACATTCATGATTATACTCACTCAGG